CAAAATATATATTGTGTGTTGGAGTGGTCCAGACGCTACATTTGTATACATAAATATTTAGATGATACTTTTTTCAAATCATGATCATTCTTACAAAAGTAAAACATCACTAGGATGTTGCAGTGGCAATTTAAATTGAGTTTGTTTTTCTTTGTTTTCCAGTGGGCCACAGTGAGGATGGAAAGAGGAGCCAAGGAGAAGAACCATCTACTGTACAAGCCTTACAGTCTTAATGGTACATGTGTCAGTGGCTGTGTAAACCTATGGGATAATGATCTATTACTCCTGCTGTTTGCTCATCTGCATGTGGCATTGCTTGTTTTGGCGTTTCCCAAGTGCTCAGTCAATCTCACGTGATGTGAACTGAGGTGTTTTATTTTCAGGCAACAATTACTGGCGATGTCTGTTAATTCGGTTGCATATTAAAGATATTATTTCTTCAGGGTTTTGATATTGTATGTATTATTTAATCTCAGGCATTATTGCTAAAGAACCTACATCGCTGGAAGAGGAGCTCAAAGAGATTCGGCGAAACGGCAGCAGCCGAGATTTGGATGGCTCCGCCTCCTCTACCACCACAGGCCCCTCCCCTTCCACATCAGAGTTTGAAATGTCAGACACCTTCTACTTCTGCCGCCGTGGGATTGAAAGCATCGTAGACGACGAGGTTACTAAACGTTTCACGGCAGAGGAGCTTGAGTCGTGGAACTTGCTGACCAGGAGCAACTATAACTTCCAGCACATTAGCACCAGACTGACAGTGCTGTGGGGTCTCGGCGTTGTCATCCGTTATGGGTTCCTGCTGCCCCTCAGGTGAGGAAGAAGGAAAATGGAGTTCTAGATTAAACGGCACTGATATTAAAAATCTGGCTGATACGAATACATTTTATGACCAATAACCCATAAATGACTGATAATGCAATTCTGTACTATTTTGTCTAAATAAAAAATATTAAAAACTAAAATCAGTAATTTTAAGTGCTACTAGTGAATTTAGGTGTCACATCATTGTGATGTACAGTATGAGAAATGGATATTCATTTTGAGATTTGCTGAAGATTACATTTAAAAATTATTTCACTAATTACTTTAGTAAGCGTTAGGAGGTCAAATAAATGTAAACATAGAAGAAAGGAGTATTGCAATTAAATCCTGAGTATTGGCAGATATACTTAATCCAATATTAACTGATAATTTTTTTTTTTAATCTCTTATTTTGGGTGGTAACCACTGATCTATAATAGAGAACTGGATTGCTCATGACGTCATAAAAGTGAAGCCGCCATATTGGTATTCCCATGACTAAACATCACCTAATGAGTCAGAGTTTTTATATCTGAAGAATCCCTGTACATTCTTACAACGTAAGCGTAAACGCAAACGGCATGCAAATGGTTATTTGTTTAATGTCGGCCATTTCCTCTCCGTATAAAAAGTTACGTATCATAATTATTACAGTACCGTACATCAGATGAACATGATAAACATCCGATGGACAAGATCCTCAACATATGCATTTCAAAATTTCTTTCATAATTACGTACATCAAGAAATATATTTTGTGTTGGATGTTACCTGTGCCGGCAAAGCACAGCAGATGGCCGCTTGAACACTTCCAGTGGCTTCACCGCTGAATGGCAGTTTAGGACGCAATGAGCAGTGGTGGTGACGGATGTGGAAGATTAGAATCTACACTGATGTGAAGATTAGAAGAGAAGTATGCTAAAATGAAAAAGACAATGAGAAATGAGGCCACTGCTAACAACTAACAAGTGCTGAAATGCACTGTGGTACTACTGTTGCGAGTCGGGATCCATTTGCAACGTTTTTATTGCATAACCAGACAAGACAGGGTCAACCACCAGTAGATACAATAGCGGAGGCTAGACTGAGACAGAACGTGGGACGGTCAGGAGGTCGAGGCAGGCGGCAGACAAACACAGTAGTAGAACAATCCAAGGCGGCAGACAAACACAGTAGTAGAACAATCCAAGTCAGGGCAAGCAGAGAGACAGATCAGCGTACGATAAACAGTCCAAGGTCAAATGAGTAGGCAGAATACAGGGTAAACGCTCAGAAGTGACAGCCGGGGCAAATCAAGACTTCGCAATTTTGCTGTGAGTGTTTGGCTTAAATGTGTGTGTGCGTGATTCAATGCAGGTGTGTGCATGCAATCAGTCCCAGGTATGAGGCATGATGGGAACTAGAGTTGGAATGGATAAAGTCAATATTCAGGAGAGAGTTCCCTCTGGTGGTGAGGAGGAGGCAGTACGGAAGCCTCCTCTGTAACAGAGCCCCCCCCCCGTGAGCGGCTCCTGACGCGAGAAGGCAAGCAACGCCGGGGTCTACCACGAGGTCAAGGGGCCGGCTTCTCCGGATGCATCCTGTGAAACTCTTCTGTGAGTGTGGGGTCGAGGATATCTCCGGCCTTGACCCAGGATCGCTCCTCTGGTCCGTACCCCTCCCAATCGACCAGATACTGGAGAGTGGCACCCCGGTGCCTGGAGTCCAGCAGCTCGTGCACCCGATACACCTCCTCGTCGTCAACCAGAATTGGTGGGGGGGTCTGCCTGGCTCCCTCCTCCGACTCTCCTCATACCCTTGAGGTGAACTGGGGACCCGGTCCGAGACAATGTCCTCAGGCAGACCATAGAAACGAAACACATGATTGCACAGTAATTCAGCAGTTTCAAATGACGTGGGGAGTTTAGGCAGGGGAATTAGACGGCATGCTTTGGAAAATCGGTCTATAATTGTAAGTATAGTGGTATTACTTTGAGAGTTGGGTGGGTCGGTGATGAAGTCAATGGCAATGTGAGACCAAGGCCGTTGTGGCGTGGGCAATGGTTGTAACAGGCCTGCTGGTAGCTGTCTGGGTGATTTAGTAGTGTTGCAGGTAATGCAGTTTCGGACGTATTTGGTGTTATCAGATAGCAGAGTAGGCCACCAGAATCGGTTTTGGAGCAGATGTGCAGTGGCAGCGATTCCAGGGTGTCCCGAACTGGGCAGAACATGTACTTGTGTCAATAGACGCTCTCGTAGTGATTCAGGAACATAGGTGAGATTGGGGGGGCTTTCAGGTGGTGGCAGATTCTGGAGATTCAAGTTGTTTGCTTGGGTCATGATGTCCCACTGTACGGGTGCGATGAGGAGGTTCTCAGAAATTATACTTTCATTGACGTTTGAGTAGCATGTCTCCTCCGCTTGACGAGAGAGAGCGTCGGCCTTGATATTCTTGGTGCGGGGTCTGTATGATACAGTAAACTGAAATCTAGTGAAGAATAACGCCCACCTTGCCTGTCTGGGGTTCAATCGTTTGGCCGAGCGTAGGTATTCAAGGTTCTTGTGATCGGTGAGGACTACAAAGGGGTGTGAGGCTCCCTCCAGCCAGTGGCGCCATTCCTCTAGTGCTAGTTTCATGGCTAGAAGTTCACAGTTGCCCACGAATGGATAAAGTCAATATTCAGGAGAGAGTTCCCTCTGGTGGTGAGGAGGAGGCGGTATGGAAGCCTGCTCTGTAAAAGAGCCCCCCCTGTGAGCGGCTCCTGACGCGAGAAGGCAAGCGACGCCGGGGTCTACCACGAGGTCGAGGGGCCGGCTTCTCCGGGTGCGTCCTGTGAAACACTTCTGTGAGTGTGGGGTCGAGGATATCTCCAGCCTTGACCCAGGATCGCTCCTCTGGTCCGTACCCCTCCCAATCGACCAGATACTGGAGAGTGGCACCCCGGCACCTGGAGTCAAGCAGCTCATGCACCCGATACGCCTCCTCGCCGTCAACCAGAACAGATGGGGGGGTCTGTAGTCTGGCTCCCTCCTCCGACTCTCCTCCCGGACCACCAGCGTGTTTCAGAAGCGATACATGGAAAGTGGGAGATATACGATAGTTAGTGGGTAGATCTAAACGGAACGATACTGGAGTTATTTGTCTTAAAATCTTGAACGGACCAACATACCTGGGATTGAGCTTTTTACATGGGAGCCTGAGGTGCAGATCCTTAGTGGACAGCCAAACCCATTGGCCTGGAGCGTATTCGGGACTGGGGCGTCGGTTGGCCTGTTGCTCTGTTCTCCTCACAGCATGTAGCAAATGAGTATGGGCTCGGTTCCAGACCTCCTCACTGCATTGTAACCAGTCTGTGACTGAAGGGAGGTCGGTGGGCTCGCCAGCCCAGGGGAACAAGGGTGGTTGGAAGCCCAGCATGCACTTAAAGGGAGTCACCCCTGTGGCGGGTTTCATGAGGGAATTCTGAGCATATTCCGCCCAAAACAAGTACCTGCTCCAGTTTGATTGTTGTTGTTGGCAATACGATCGCAGGAACCGGATGAGCTCTGTCTGTCCGTTGGACTGAGGATGGTAGCTGGATGTGAGGCTGATGTTTACATTGAGGTGTTTGAAGAAGGCAGTCCATACCCTTGAGGTGAACTGGGGACCCGGTCCGAGACAATGTCCTCAGGCAGACCATAGAAACGAAACACATGATTGCACAGTAATTCAGCAGTTTCAAATGACGTGGGGAGTTTAGGCAGGGGAATTAGACGGCATGCTTTGGAAAATCGGTCTATAATTGTAAGTATAGTGGTATTACTTTGAGAGTTGGGTGGGTCGGTGATGAAGTCAATGGCAATGTGAGACCAAGGCCGTTGTGGCGTGGGCAATGGTTGTAACAGGCCTGCTGGTAGCTGTCTGGGTGATTTAGTAGTGTTGCAGGTAATGCAGTTTCGGACGTATTTGGTGTTATCAGATAGCAGAGTAGGCCACCAGAATCGGTTTTGGAGCAGATGTGCAGTGGCAGCGATTCCAGGGTGTCCCGAACTGGGCAGAACATGTACTTGTGTCAATAGACGCTCTCGTAGTGATTCAGGAACATAGGTGAGATTGGGGGGGCTTTCAGGTGGTGGCAGATTCTGGAGATTCAAGTTGTTTGCTTGGGTCATGATGTCCCACTGTACGGGTGCGATGAGGAGGTTCTCAGAAATTATACTTTCATTGACGTTTGAGTAGCATGTCTCCTCCGCTTGACGAGAGAGAGCGTCGGCCTTGATATTCTTGGTGCGGGGTCTGTATGATACAGTAAACTGAAATCTAGTGAAGAATAACGCCCACCTTGCCTGTCTGGGGTTCAATCGTTTGGCCGAGCGTAGGTATTCGAGGTTCTTGTGATCGGTGAGGACTACAAAGGGGTGTGAGGCTCCCTCCAGCCAGTGGCGCCATTCCTCTAGTGCTAGTTTCATGGCTAGAAGTTCACAGTTGCCCACATCGTAATTTCGTTTGGCGGTGGTTAGCTTGCGTGAGAAGAAGGCGCAAGGGTACATCTTTGCTGGGGATCTGTGACGTTGGGAATGTATCGCACCTACCCCAGTGTTAGAGGCGTCGACCTCGACAATGAATGGGCATTCTGGATCAGGATGTCTGAGGATAGGTGCTGAAGTAAACCGAGTCCTTAGTTCATTGAATGCCTGTTGTGATTCTGAAGACCAGGTCAATTTAGTGGCGTGACGTTTCTCACGGTCAAAGGAGCGGCGATCGAACTGAAGTTCCTGATAAATCGCCTGTAGAAGTTCGCGAACCCCAGGAAGCGTTGTAAATCCTTGATTGTCTGGGGAAGCGGCCATTCCAGAACTGCCTTGACTTTCCTCTCATCCATCGCGACCCCCTCCTGGCTGATCACATACCCCAGAAAAGTTGTGCTTCTTTGATGGAACTCTCATTTCTCCACTTTAGCGTAGAGTTGATACTGAACGAGGCGCTTGAGTACAGATCTGACATGACGAATGTGCTGTTCCAGGGAATTTGAATAGATCAGGATGTCGTC